CTCCCAAGTAGCTGGGAGCTGGGACTACAGGTGCCCGCCACCACACCCAGCTAATTTTTTGTATTTTTAGTAGAGATGGGGTTTCACCATGTTATCCAGGATGGTCTCAATCTCCTGACCTTGTGATCTGCCCTCCTCGGCCTCCCAAAGTGTTGGGATTACAGGCGTCAGTCACTGCATCCGGCCCACGACCTGTATTATTTTTTAAAGCCCAGAATATGCCACAGAGTATTTGCAACAACATCTGTGTTGTTTCTATAGATCACCTTGAATTTCTGCACAAAAAGGATACACTTCCAGAATTGTATACTGCTTCACTTTGCAAATAGAGAATTATTCTCCACTTGTAAGTTTCAATCCACTTATTTCTTAAAGGACAACTAAGCCGTGATTATCACTCCTTGTTTTCTTTTGGCTTCATTTATATTTTTCTTTAATGCTTAAGGCCTACAACAGAGCAGTAAACATTTACGTGCATTTCAAAGTTCCATGTTGGTTTCATTCTCTGTGCTAGCAATATCTAAAGTGTAGGAAAGGAACTCTATCACTGAATTATCAGAATTGAAATAGGATTAATTTTAGGAAACAATATATTTTAAAAACTAAGTGGTAAGATCAAGAGAGGACTATAGTTTCCATGAAGTTAATATTCTGGAGGTGCTCGTGTACGTCCTCATCAGCCACACATCTGGGGAAGAGGGACTTTTCCTGGGTTACCTTAATCAGCACCTTTGTTGTGGAAGCCATGCCAAGTCTTCTTAGGTTTTACAGGAAAATGGATTATTCATGGCACTTCCTCAGTTTGTTCTTGAATCTATGGTCTTCTTTGGGATTTGCTATTCAGAGTCCCTTAACTTGTAGAGGAGAGATAAGAGGGAAAAAAGTATTTATTCTTTTTGTCTGTACAATGCCATGTTAGTTTTTCTTATCCTAATGCCATCATCCTTCTCTCTATTTGTGAGATACCCTTAGAGGGCCAAGAAAAAAATCATTTTTGGTCCATCTAGGCCCCTTTTCCCTATCAGTCATCTGGCCCTTCCATATTTAAGGTAATTTGATGTACTACAGTCATGTTATACAGTTACTTGCTGAGTGGTAGATACCTGATTTGTGATGATCTGACACTTACTAAAGGTTTTTGCACTTGGACTCCTTCTCTGCCCACTCCCCTGGAGTTGGTGTCACCTTTGCCTAGTTGGATAGGCACAAGCTGATCCTGGCCAGTGGAGCCCAGAGTAAGGAGGATGCTCAGGGATCATCTGGCATAACGCTTCAGTCCCACTGCCCTCCATTCCTGATGGCCTTACGCCATTCACAGATCGGTTCATTTTGCTTCAGACATTTTCTTTCTCACAAATCAATACACATCCTCTTCACTCCATTTCTGCTTTTAATCCACCAGTCCTTGTCAAGATAATCAAGATAACCCTTTCCTATCATCTATGCAAAATTCTTAATCTAATTCCCTAAACTCTTCAACTGAAAGTCAGTTTTAAGCATTACTATTGAAGCTATAAATTTAAAAACTTAATAAAGAATTTGAACATTTCTGAAAAAAATTTTTAAGGATTTTTAATTTTTGGATTTTTAGTTTTTGGGGAAAAAAATTTATATATAATATGTAAACATATATATCCATATGTAAAACAAGACATTTTACAATTATTTTACTTAATCCGTTAAGTTACACCAGTACCATGCTTTATGAGTTTTCATTATTTCAGTCATTTATTGCTTAAGAATGTCTTCGTGAGTTAGCTTGGAAGGGGTTTCCTACTATTTGCATTATTCTTTTTGTGGGAAATATATTCTTGATTTCATAAAACTAAATTGGAAGTGAAGTTATGATTTTTTAAAAACGATTTTAAGTTGAAGATGACACATTTATGCAGTTATTTTCATGAAGAGAAACTATTTTAATCAATATGTTTTCTGAGTCAGACAAAAGGTTAAAAGATGATGGGCAAAGAGGCTCATTATTTTAATACATTTTTTCTCTAATTATAAAAACTGCCATCAGAGCAAGAAGATCCATGAGGATCTCTTAGTTTGTTTAGTTTACGTGATGTTTGCTCTGCAATAACACCGGCTAGCATGAGGTAATTCACTGTAATTAGAGCTGCCAGTGACAGTTGGGCAATTCAGAGAGAGGCATTTGTCAACAGGTTCTACTTTAGACAAGAAGAGGGAGAGAAACTGGAATCTCCTGCAGGGATAGCTTGCCTGCTCCCAAATGAAGTAGGCAAAGTTTGTCTTCACCCTCCCATTACCACATTG